CCCCATCGCCCTTCCATTCCCTTAGATATTTTGCTGCCTGAATGACATGTCAGGGCTCATCTTGTTTCCCCACAGCATAAATCAAACACTCAGATGAGCATGAATGCTCACACATCCCAAAGACAAACACAACTGCCCAGAGACAGGCGTGCAGTTAGGGTCATGTTAAGGAATGAGATCCTTCCCTAAATAAATGCACAGAGATCTGCAGAGACTATGTCCCTCAGTGGGCCCAGGGCTCCAGGCAACTAGGCTGAACCAAGTGAGTCCTCACTCTGTGTAGCCTCCAGCTCCAGCCAGACACCAGATCGTTCCAGGGCAGGGTCTCTCTGCCCTCTGCTGTGAAATTGAAAGAGACCACGTGGGGCTTGATGCATGCAATTCATAAACTAGCGGAATTAAAAGTTACCCTTTATTGTGAGCCAGCCCTGGGTTATGCCCTCTTCATAATTGTCTACTTTAATTCTCAAAAACAACCCTGAGGAGCAAGTATTATTCTTACCATTTTTCAAATAGCAGAACTGATGCTCAGAAACACTCAATGACTGTCCAAGGTCACAGTGATGCCGATATTTACTCTTGTCTGGCAAATGCTGCAACTTAGTTTTTTTCCACATTATCTTATGCATTCTGAAGATTTCTCTGAAAAAGAAAATGCAGTTTTATGGCTACTTTTCAGGAAAACAAAAATCCTTATAAATGATCCATCTGGGATTTTACCTCCATTATTTTATTTTCATTCCAAATGATCTCTGTGGTCATTCTTACAAACTCCTCAGAAGTTAGAATTCATGATCAAGCAGCATGCAGTCATGAAAACAGAAGCCATGTCAGGCACTTCGTGGGGAGGTTTAATGCGGGGAACTGGTGACAACTTTGTTGGAAGTGGTGGAGGAGAAAAGCCGGCCAGTGCTGTCACGGACATGAGTATTCACAGAAGAGGCCCAGCCCCTTGGGGGAGAGGACCCAAAGGGGACCCGGTGCCATGGCCTCTCAGTACCTAAAGTGGTCCTATTTCCTTGACAGCTTATTGATTGCGACTGGATTCTAACTTCCGAGTAGTTTATAAGGATGACCACAGCTACGGTTTGGAATGCAAATAAAATAAAGGGGACCCAAGCACACTGGTCACTGAGGTTCCTGCGACTGTTCTGGGGACACCCCCCCCCCCCGGCCACAGGAGCACCCCCACACTGACAGTGCAGGGCTGTCAGGGCCCACAGAGACCTGCAGTCACTCAGAGCCCCTGCTGCTGCAACCAAAGCAGAAAACAAAATAGATTTTCCTTTATGCATACTTTCTAATCTCCTATGAATGCTTCTCATTAGCAGAACCTAAATGGAAACCAGCTGGCAGGGGATTCTGGGAAATGTGGTTTCTGGGTTTTGGGCCCCTGCGACACAGAGGAGGATATAGAGTGGGTATGGATCGTGGGCCGACCAATATCAGCCGCCACACCGGCCAGAGTTACCGGACTCCGTTGCTTTGGGGTGTGATGCATCACATGGGTTGATCTCGAGTGGATGTGATGATCCTCAGCACAGCCCTGGGATCACACACAGCCGAAGCCCAAGGAGAGTCACGGCATTATTATGTACATAAAGAATACCCCTGTGGGGAGGAGAGAATAAAATCCCGCTCAAGCTGGGGTTTCAGAAACGGAAGCCGGCCCCTGGCCTGGCTGAACCGCCAGCCCGCGAAGCTGGAGCAGTCTGGGTGCTGCGTGGGCTTCACTCAGAAGCCATCGCCCTGTTCCCACAGCCTCATCACCCAGGCTCCTTCCCGTGACCTTTGTTGGCAGTGTCTTAGGTTGGGTTACCCGGGAAACAGGTTCTGAGACAAAGACTAGGGCACAGGGAGTGTATCAAGGAGTGTTCTCAGAAACAAAGCCTGGAGGGGGAAGTGAAGCAGCCGGACAGAGGGACAGGTTGCAATGTGATGCAGCTGCAGTCACAGCCTCAGCCACCCCACGGGGACCTCTGCATCCCATGCCCCTTCACAGCTGTCTTGAATTCGGGTATGGGGGCTAGAACTATCCCCTTCACCTTTACCACTGAATATCGGCTGGCCCCAGGAAGGAGCGTAACTTCACTTGACAGGGCTCCCCCTGGGGGCAGGACCACTCAGCAGCAGCCGATGTCAGCAGCCAGGAAAAGGCGTGCCTGTTCTGGGGGGGCACCCCGGCAGCGCAGCAGGGCACCCACTGCTCAGTGCTAACGTGGATTGTAGTATTTCTTGCTTAACTCCCACCCCGGGCTCTTGGCTGCGCTCCAGAGCCCTGCCTGGACCTCCAGGTGGAATGTGACTTGGCCCACTCCCTGTTCCTTTCCCACCTGCGGGCCTCGCCCTGCGGGCCTCTCCCTGGGCATGGGGTGCGTCCTTCCTACGATGCAGGCCCACGCTCTCTGTCACCCCGGCAGGGGAGTCGCTCCTGGCTCCCCTCGCCCAGCCCCCAACTTTCATCTCCCCACAGCACTCTTCACTAACTGAAATCATCTTACTCATTTATGGCAAACCTGTTTTGTCTGTTCCTCCTAATCAAATATAAAGCTCTCAAAAAGCAAGAATCAGCACCTACAGAAGTACCTGGCCCAGGGTAGGTAAATATTTGTGCCACACATGATGTGAACTGACCACCTGCTAATATGGAAGACACCTACTGGGCAGAATTTCATGAAAATCACCTGATTAGCAGGTGGCCTTCCTCATGTCCAGTCTTAAAGAGAATGGCTAGACTGGGATGATGGTCCCTGTCCTATCAGCCATGGTCAGGGCAGCAGAGTTGGCTTCAGGGGTCAAAGGCAGCAGGTGCCATGGTAACTCCTTTGGGAAAGAATCGCATCGTCCTCAGAAGGCAGCTTCTTGTCTTCTTCCTGGTGCAGACCCTCAGTCTAGCCAGTTACCCATCTGTGTGTCGGTCACGGCGCAGTTACCATGGTCATGGAGTTCTCAGATCTCTCCCGTGGTAGACCCCAAGTGTGGTTCGAGAACTCGGTCCCCTCGGGGCTGATGTTTGAGATTAGGACACCTCGGGGAAAAGCCCACCAGTTACCCTTTTGCCAGCTGAAATCACACAGTGTGGAACATCTCTTCCCAGGGGTTGGACAGCTCTCTCCTAGCGAACATTTTTAAGTAAAAATTACTACTGCCGTTGACTGTGTGCCTGTTGCAGACGAGGGGCCGTGCCAGGCCCATAACTCAGACACTGGCATCCTTCCCCCGTGCTCCTGGGAAAGTGAGGGGCTGGGAGGAGCTCCTGCGAGTGAGAATGGTCATTGTGAGTAAAATCAAGTATGACAGGTCTTCCTTCAAGGAGGGACTAATTCGTTCTGTTTAAAAGTAAGGGGGTGGGAGGAGTAAAGGGGAGATTCCTTCTCATCCCCACCCCGTACTCCACCCCATTTCGTCCCAGCTTTGAATACTGTTCCAGCCGCCTTTTAGTTTGATAAGGATTCTGCAGACTTTGTCCACATTTTATATCTGGAAGTCTTTGGAATTCTTCAAAGCTTGGCAGGAAATGGGTGGAGTTAGATCTCCCCCTTGGTCAGAGGAAGAAATGTCTTCTGAATGGTGCAAAGTGGACGGTTTGCATACAAGCGATCCTTCTGGAAGATGTTCTGTGTTTTTCCGTCATCCCTGGAAATAAAATTACAGCTCCTGTCTCACCTTCCGCTGAAGTGTCTTCACACGCCAGGGAATTGCTTACCGGCAACTAAATATAGACTTCAGGGGCATTCGTTTCAAACTGACGCTGCTCACAGCTGTCTTCAGGATGTCCACACAGTGTCAAAGTGACCAAAGAAGGTGTTTCTTGTTCTGAGAACAAGAGTGATTTTCTCTTAGTGCCGAAAGCCCCGCAGGGCCTCAGACCCTGGGTTTCCACCGAGGGAGGATACTTTCTGGCACTTTCTCCTGAGAACTGAGTGGGACCTGAACGCGTCTGTGCTGTTACTGACAATGTAAGAGCGTGACTGAGAGTAAAGCAGTACACCCTCAAGACCGTTTCTTTCCCTAATGTCTCACTAATGGACGGATAGGAATTTATTTCTGGATCAGAAACTACATGCTATGGTGAAGTAAACATTAAAAATCAAACTCGATTTGAACTCCAGCAGCTTACTGTGACCTTACAGACAGGGCATAACCTCCTCGGTCAGTTTCTTGATTTGTAAAGTCAAGATTATCCCCCTTTGCACGCAAGCTTGTCATAAGATTCACTGATGTGACGTGTGTCCATTTCTTCACACGGCTGCAGAACTTTAGGTGGACTATAAATTGGCTAGGGGAGACTGCTGCCCCCCATGTTCCCAGTACGGTTAGCCCAGCGTATGGAACCCTTGTATCAGCCAGCAAAGCAGATGCCACTCACTGTCTTTAGCCCCCGGGCTCCCTAATGAGGGGTGCTCAGCTGCCTGTGACACTAGTCATGTCACTGGCTCAAGAAGCTTAATTTTGTGCTGCCCCGTAGCCCTGTTATAATTGGGGCTGATGTCACCACTCAGAAAGAACTTACAAAAACACTCTCTGTCCTTCATAAGACTTGCTAACTGACCTTCAGCCCCCTCTGGTCCTCAAGCAAATAGCCTCAGCAAAGCCACACATCTTTAGGGGTGGGGCACGGGGGCCATCAGGGCCAAGCTCCAGGGGCCTCGCCTCTGCCTCTGTCTTTCCAGCACCCTGGAAGACCTTGTCCCAGGATAACACAGGACATGTGGGCGTTTAATAAGTAGCTGCGATGATAATGATGATGCATATCTCGGCTTTAATTCACATGTGTTAGTTCCATTATTGATTGTGTGCTCCTTAAATTAACCAGATAAAGTCACAACCAGTTTAAAAACAATTACTTTAATTTGCATCTGTGGTCTAGCAGGTGTCTGGGTTTTTTCTAATATTAATAATTACATTGTACAGTTTATGAATTTTAGTTGAGATTGGTAGTGTCTAAGCTAATGTAGCATTTTTCTTTTGTTCTCATGTTTGTTTTGTTTTGTTTTTAGGGTCAAGTTGTGTTCCGGAATGGGGAGAGAATGGGGACCATTAAATTTACTCAATTTCAAGGTAGGCTTTTTGATACTTCTTTCTAGTTGATAAATTCTGTATTCAGGGGTGTTGTTTCATGCAATAAAATACATCAAAACAAATGAAAGTATGATGTTCCAGATAAGAGAAATAAAAATCAATAGAAAACACTTCTCTGTGAAAATATTAGTTTCAACTTATTTAGAATATTTTTTTCTCTACTGTATTACTTCTCAGGCTGATTCAGTCTTTCCCCATGACTATGAGAAACTCATTAAATTATGGGGGTGAGGGGTAAGTCAGTTCCCATATTCTGAGAAAACTTGCATTGTTCTCGTCTTCGATTGTAGAAATTTCCAGACTCTGAAGTTGAGAGAATAGCATAGTGAATGCTTCACCAGCTTCACAGTATCAACATTTTGCCAATCTTGCTTTATCTTGACCCGCCCTATCACCCCTTTGTTTTTTGCTGTAATGTTTCAAAGCAGCTCCCAGACGTTATCTCATTTCAATCTATAAACACTGCAGTATGCATTTCTACCAGATAAGGACTTTCAAAAACATAGCCACAGTACGGTGATCACACCTAAAGCACTTAACAGTTGTTAATATCCTCTCATTCCCAGACTATGTGTCTCTGTAGTTTCTTTTACTCTGCAGACACCGCACATACCCTATTCACAGAACCTTTATTTATGCATTTATTTTAGAACCAGGTCCTTGGTTGGACTTTTCTGCCGTCAGAGTTGGAAGGGGCTCTGAAGTCACCCAGACCGAGTTTCCCACGCGATAAGGAGGAAGCGCGCAGAGGGGCAGTGGCTTGTTGGAGCCCACGGGGCATCCTTGAGGCGTAGGGGCTGGGCCGTCCTCAAGGCGGCGCCAGTGCAGCTCGGGTGGCCGTTAGCAGGGCTGGCAGCCAGAGCACCAGCCGGGTGATCCGGCAGCGGGTGCTCTCCGGCAGCGGGTGCTTCTGGAAGCCCAGCCTTCTGCGTCAGCTCAGATCCCAAAGTCATCCAGGGGAAAGCAAGAAAGGCAATCGAGTTACTCAGATTCCTTCAGAGAAATCCACCAGATTCGGATCAATCAGGAGAGGTGTCCTTGGGTTCTACTGCTCCATAATGCAATCTTGTAGATTTACCCATTTGTCTTCCCGTGGCAGGTAATTGAAACGCATGTCAGCTCTCTGGTGTGCGTAAAAGATGTAATTTTAGGCAAATGTAATTATTTTCCCATTTGTTAAGTCTTACTTCTTTGTTGGTTGAACAAAGTAAGCATCTTGGCAAAGATACTTACTTTTTTTTTTTTTTTTTTTTGAGTGATTGCAACTAAATTCTCTTGTCACATTTTCAGTTCTCAAATTATATCATTCTGGGAGAATATTTTGTAAAATATTGATCAGCCAATCACAGCTACAAGTGTGTACCTATTTTATTGCCTCTCTTTCTTTATATTAGGATTAGACGCCAACTCCAGTGACTGGTTTTAGGCATTTATAAGGAAAACAGTGTAGCAAGCAGTAGCTGAGGTGGGTTTGACCCACCTGAGTTCAAGTTGCTGTAGAACATCAGGCAAGTGACTTCACCTCGCTGAGCACTGATGTCCTCGTCTGTCAAATAAGAATATATTCCTATCTCTCTGCTTAGGCTATGGGAAGAACTAGATGAGATAAGACAGAGAAATATGTGCATATATTTCTTGCTCAGCAAGCAATAGCAATTATGACTAGCACTTTGTCAAAAATTATGACACTTTTCAGGGGCAAATCCAGATTTCCTTGGTGCGTTGAAACCCTCCCGATGCCTTTTTGTCTGCCTACCCCCATCGCTGCTACCCACACGTAGCGATGTGGGATGTCAGAAGGCACAAGGCCGTAGAGATGATCTTGTCTCCCCACTTTGTGGGGTCAGTGGGGAAGCTGAGGCCCAGGGAAGGGAGGTGTTTCCTCCAGGGACATGTGGCTGATTGGGGGCGGTGCCAGCGCCCGCGTGCTCACATGCACACAGGCCTGAGCTCTCTCACCGTGTGTGTTCCGCGTCTATGGACTGTCAGAACTGGGGCTGGCAGGTCCTCCTGTTTGCGAGTTTTCAGAACAGACGCTGATCCTGCTGACAGGGGGATGCTGTGCCCAGGGCGTGCTCACATCAGCACAATAGTGAGTTATCCAAGTTCATAGGGTCTCAGAGGTGCCTTGTCTGCCAGGATGGAGGGGTTGAATACTAAAGAGGCTGTCCAAGCCAGAAGGGCTTCTGGTTGTCATCTCATTTCACAGAGGGGAAAGGAAACTGGGGCTCAGGCAAGAGAACAGTCTTGCCTGGGGTGGTCCCTGACTCACTGTGAGACGGTGAGTTCATTCCTTCTCTTCTCTGGGCTCATGCTCCCCCTCCAAGAGGGCTTGGTCCAGATTCTGTCTTCTGGGACCTTCTAGAAATTTACCCAGAGGATAGGCCTGCCTCCTCCCCAGGGGTTATGAGTTCCTAAATCACCTCATGCCGTTGACCTTGCACATGGCTTCTATGTGGTGTCACCATGTTATTTTTGCCATGCCCTTCACACCCTGTCCCCTGTCTGTTTCTCCCTTGCCGCCTGCCCTCTTATGTAGAGAGGACAGTGGATATCAGAGCTCATGACAGAACTGATGCATAAACAACCAGCCCCAGCAGTGGGGGCTCCTTTTGCAAGATCTGCTCTTGGGCAAGTCATTTCATCTCCCTAAGCTTCAGTCTTCTCCTCTGTACAATGGGATGGCATTGATGCCGGCCCTGCCTGTCTCCTGGGGCTGGGCTAGGGCCATTTGAGATTTTGCTGTGAACTCTAGTTCTGGGAAGCTAGTCACATTGCTAGCATGCTGCCTGGCTCCTTGTCTGGCTCTTGGTAAATGCTTACTGAATTAGTTAGTGATACATCTCGTGGAAACTTAAGAACCTTTCATTTACTCATGTTTTCCCATGACTTAAATCAAGGCAGAAGGTCTGGTGAACCACAGTCAGCCTTGACAACAGAAACGTGAACCAAAGCAAAGTCATGATGGCAGCCACTGTTATTCTAGACCGGAGGACCTTTTTCACCAACATAGAAGTGCTGGACAAACAGAACTATTCTGAAATAATGCCCCAGGGCCAACTCCATGGTCCCTCTTGAGACTGAGGCATTTTGAATCCAGAGGGGGTTTCAGAGCCTTAGAAATGATCTTCCTCATCCCTAGTTTCCTTTTATTTACTCCATTTCTGAGGATTCCCAGAGTCCTTGCCTCCCACCAGGACAGTCCTAGAGGGTGGCTCAGAGCATCCAGGGTTCCAGAATAAGCATCTTATTAAGAGCACCTGCAACTCTTATCCTGTGCAAGGAGCTGGTCAGGTGTCAGGGACTTAATGCTTCTGGGGCAGCCCTGAGCCAGGGATGGACAAGAAGTGGAGGACTAATCCCCTAGTGTCCTTTCCCCTTGGTTGGAAATGCCCAAGAACTTCAAGGTATGTTCTAGTCTGTTTCCAGATGTCAGCTGAGGACAATCTCAATGGAACTGTACCTCAGTTGCCTTCCCAGAAACCTGCTCATTCATGCACCTTGTACTGGCTCCCTTCCCTTCCCTGTCTCACCACCCTGAACCCTATCAGTGTGTCCTAAGACCACCTTCCAAATAAATTACATGCATTCTTGCCTTTGTCTCAGGCACTATGCTGAGGGCGCTACCCATGGCTGTCCATAAGGCAGGGATCGTCCTGCTGGCCACACATCCTGGGTATAGTGGGGCTAGCCTGAACCCCTTTCAACTCCAAGTTCAGAGCGCCTCCCCCATGCCATCACGGATTTCCACTAAACCACATTAGATAAGGATGAATGCTAGAGAATTGGCTTTTTATTTCCTTATGAGAAGAAAGAATTCATGTTACTGCCAAAGTCTAAACATGGCTCAGAATTTGCAGCAGGGAAGGAAGTTGAGTGAAGCCATGATTAGAGCCTTGTTTATGCCGTTCTTCGTGAAATCTCAGCATCTGTGCTCTGGCTCACCGTCTCTGCCTTCATTAGGCCTGTTTGTAAGAATCTCAGCGAGTGATGATGTGCTTGAGTTTCATACTGCTTCTGCGGAGCATAAAAGACTCAGACTGGGGAGTTTTGTGTTTCAGCACCTGACTTGAAGGGATCAGGTCTTCCATTGCTCTAACAACATAATTGTCACTCAGAACGTACCTAGTGAAATGTAGGCTTGTCCTTCCCATTTGCAGACATTAATTACCATTTGGTCTTCGGGGTAACAGATATGGTTCTATTCAGTGCACATTTCCTGAGCATCTGCCAGGCACTTTACCAAGTCCTCTGGGGGAAGCCAAGTTGAGTAAGAAATGGTCCCTGCCCCACCCCCACCCCCAAGGGCTTCATAATTTTTCTGGCCGAGAGTCAAAGCCTATGGAAGCAGGAAGATAATTTCCCAGAATCTACTAGAAAACTTTCAGAGCACGTCTGACCCCAGTTTGAGACTCTTAAGGCTGGTTTCTGATATCCTTTTCTCTGTCGAGGCGTGTTCTGTGTGGCTCTCTTCACCAAGCCATGGGTCTGCGGTGGCCAGTTTGCTGACTGCCACTCAACTTGATATAATTAAGAGTGGAGATATAGCCTGGCCGGTGTGGCTCAGTGGTTGAGCGTCAACCCATGCACCAAGGGGTCGCTGGTTCAATTCCCAATCAGGACAGAAGCCCAAGTTGTGGACCCAACCCCAGTGAGGGGCACACAGGAGACCGGTCAATGTTCTCTCTCATCGATGTTTCTCTCTCCCTCTCCATTCCTCTCTCTCTCAACTCAATAAAGAAGAAAAAAAAAGAGTGGAGATGCAGTCCATCGAAATACAGGATACACAGGCAGGCATGTGAGTCAGCAGGAATGGAAAGACACAAGTGAATGTGGGTTCCTACAGGCTGGAAGCCTGACCCTGACCTTGACGCCGACCCAGCCCTCATGATGCAGGGCTCACCTTTCAGGAAGCCCGAGGAAGTGGCTTGGAAGGCAGAGTTATTTAGTAGGCCTTGTGTTTCGTTGAGCCTTAGATT